CACTCAGACCGTCCATCTGATGATCTTCACACGTGGATCGACTTCGCACTTCACGTTTGAGGTCGTGGCTAACGACGCCGTTTTGCCCCTTGGGGTTGAAACCCTGATTCCATCGCAGGTGACCCTAATCCCAAGCTTCTTCGACTCCATTTTGCCGGCTTTCACCTTCACCTTCGTGTCCAGCTGTATCTTCACCGGCAGATCGCCGCTCCTCAAGCTCGATCTCAGCTGTGACAAGTCTGTGCCGGCAGGAATCGGATCGCTCGAGCTCGAAATCAGCGTCCTCAACGTCGTCGTGTTTTTCCTGCCGTGAGCGAAGCCGGGAAACGCTCCGTCGCCGATGTCCACGTCTCCGGAGTAGAGCCTAACGGAGATCTGATCGTAGTAGAAGTCGATCTTCTTGTTCGGGTTGCTGGCGGTGAGCGAGAAATTGAAGGCGGTGGTGAGCATCGTGCCGGTGAGATTGAACCTGGAGAGGCGGAGGGATCCGACCGAGAACGACGGGCGTCGGGGGCGGTACAGCGCGTAGAACGCCGCGCCGACGGCGGCGGCGAGGAGGAGGACGAGGAGGACCGCGGTGGTCGTCCAGAGGCAGCAGGAGCGGCAGCAGCCGCGGCGGTGGCGCCGCCGCGAGGGCGGCTGCGGGCGGTACGCGAGGCGCGTCGGGTTGTGGAACTGCGGTTTGGCGGCGCCGTTCGCCGCCGCCGTGGCTTCGACGGCTGGCTTCATCTCTCTCGCTCTGGATTAATTGCCGGTGTAGAGAGGTCGAGAGAGGGGAAAGAGTATATATATATGGAGGTGGAGAGGTTGGGGAAAGAGTAATTACTAATTAGTGAAGTGATTAGCTGAGAGTAATTACAATTAAATGATTTTTAATCCCTATAAATCTATAGTAATATAAAGAGGTTGTTGGAAAAATAAAAAAATAGTATGTTTGACTTAAAAAAATAATGTTTTGACTTACTAATTTAAGTAATAACAATGGGTCCCACGCGTTAACATAAAATTAATAAAGAAGATAAATCACCTAAATCTTTCCTACTAAAATTAGTTTGAATGTTGTTAACCAATGTTATCAGATTTTGTGGGATTTTATTTTTTCACAAATTTCATAATAACTACAAGATCTAGATGATAATGATTGAAATTTCCTTATCAAATTTATAGGATTATGTTAACTATATTGCTAGGATTTGATTTATTTTATATAGGGATTGTTGTTACTAACCAATGTCATCGGATTTTGTGGGATTTTATTTGTTCATAAATTTTTAATTACTACAAGATCTCGATGATAATGATCGAAATTTCTTTTCCAAATTTATCGGATTTGTTAATTTTGTATAGGGATTTTTAATTTTGTACAGGGATTGTTGTTACCAAATTTGCACAATAACTACAGATTTATTGGGCCGCTACAAAATTGACGATTTGGACGGTTTTTCACATTTGTTTAGCAATTATTCATTTTTATTTTTTTATTTTTGTATCAATCTGCATATATTTGATCAATTTTGTAGGATTTTATTTGTTCACAAATTTTTTAATTACTACATAATCTCGAAGAGAGTTGATCGAAATTGTCTTACCAAATTTCATTGTAACAAACTCCATTTTTTTTGGCAACATAATCTTCAAAATATTCGTGCTTCCCTCACATGTGAATCACTTACCACATTTTTTTATTGTTTTACCAAAACCGAAAATACATATTTTTTTAACTCATCATAAGCATAATCAAATAAGTCGGATAAGATCCCACGGGATATTATCATATCATAATAAAAAATATCGGATATTATCAATTAAATAGATTAGTACATGACGTAGATATCTTTTAAATCCCCGTGAGTGGCTTACGGTACATACACATGACAATATATACATCACCAACCTTGAACAACAACTATGCAACATCCATTCCACAATACACTTTTTTCACGAAGCTTTTACAACATCATTCAAAATGCCTTTGAATTTTGGAGTCATCAAGAATATCAAAAGATCCAATAAGCCACCAATCAAGTTACGCATAATTAAGATGTTCCAACGAGTTGAAGACGTACGCAATTACCGAAATGTTCTTGATATTATCCTTCACGATTCTAAGGTAATATATTATTTAAATTTAAATTTAATTTAAATGCATCATTTTATGCCACATATTCCGAGGTAAATTGTTCTTCACTGTTGTTCATATCACCTGTCTATTCATATAAAATTTAACTTCAAATAACATTTATATTCATAATTGAAACAAGTATGAAAACAAGATAGACTTGCTGAAGCATATTCAGATAATGCGTGGCAGTTTTGAATGAAGATCAACACAGTTTGAAATTTAGAGGGCAATTAATACTACAAACTCATAGAGATAGTCGCTAATACCAAGTATTGTTTTCACATTCATATTCAACTGTAAGTGTAGTTTGAATTTAATTTATCTTCACATTGAGTTTGTTAAACAAAAGCTCCAGATATGTGCTAAGTTTGGTAATTCAGCCTTCCGTGCATCTATATATTTTATGTCTTTGATTCAGAATTTTACAAATTAATGTTCTTACTTGATGTTTTACATATTATATAGAGTGTTGCACGAGACTTCATAACTGATTTTGAAGAGCAACAGTGGAATGAAAGTTTCACTCCTACGGTTTCAAAAAAGAACGTAAAAAGATGCAGAATGATAACATTTCAATCGCAATGGAAAATGAGTAAGCACAACAACAGAGATATGTCCAAAGAAAACGTCAAAACAGGTAGTAAATGGTAAAAGAAATGAAACAAACACATATGATATATGAGATTGTTTAGTAAATACATCTGCTGATGCAAACAGTTCTATGAATAACGAATAACAAATTATGTGATAAATGATATTCATATCTTTCTTAATGTGTTGTAGCCCACCAAATATCTTATTTAAAGCTTACATTTGACTTACATTTGAGCTCCAGTTTATTCTCACCAACCATCATCATGCAAACAAAAAAAAAAAAGCATTATTAGTACGTGTTGAATTTCATAAGGGTGTGTATATGAGAAAATATTCAATAATATATAGATTTTATTTTTATTATATTTATTAATTTATTAATTATTGACATAATCTTTCCTTTAGTAAATACTTTGAACTTTAACAAAAAATTGCTTTTTAAAAGGGACGGGAATAATAAACCCCCCGTGCATCGCACGGGAACTGTACTAGTAGTCAATAAATTAGGTCAAACATTCATGTCAACGATCTAACAATGTACTGTACATTATTGGTACTATGGTGGCTTGCGTAACTTGGTTAATGACTTTCAAGCTAAAGAGATGTTTGCAGTTTACCATAATTTGTAGTAATATTATGAGTTTTATAGATTGGAAAAGTGTATCGATTATCAATTCAAGACCTAATATTATTGTACTATAATGATTAAAGTAAAATTATGAAAAATGCTACGGTCTCGTTACGTTACTATATCGTCGGGTGTTTAACCGTTGGACCAACGCGTAGTTAGATAAGATAGATGATCTAACGGTTAAAACACCCGACGAAATGGTACTATAACGAGACCGTAATATTTCCCTAAAATTAGTATATAAAATTGGATGACAATTAAGTTCCCTTAATATTATGGTACTATATATATATATATATATATATCTCTTTTTTCTTATATAAAATCATAACTCTCTAAATAAAATGATTTGCTCATAATTTTAAAATCTAAATATAATTACTTCCCTCCCTATATTAATAACCACGAGTTTGTGGGGGGTTTGCTCATAACTTTTGCTTAATTTTCTTTGTTTAGCATGAGGACCAATTTTAGACTAATAGTATATGTTATGTGTTTTGGACCATTGTTTTACTATTAAAAGGCCCAATTCTTTTTCATTTCATCTACACTATTCTATTTACTTTTTTTATTTACTCAAATTATCTTGTGGATATGTGGCAATTTTTTATGATTTTTCGTGGTTTTTGTGCCACGCGTTTCAATCTATTTATTTTTTCATTTTTTTTTTTCCACAGAAACGATTGCATACCATAAAACTCAAAAGAAAGTTACAATAGGGCTCCATGAAGGAGAAACAATACCTCATCTACCATCTGCAGATGAGTACTAAGAAGGCAGCAGCCTAACAAACTACAATAAAAGAAGCACAAAAGCTAAGAGCCTAAAAAGACACCATACACAAAGACTACCAGAGATATGCACTAATACATAGGCAGAATAATTGGCCTACTAAACAACACTGCTAACACATAGCCTACTGACTTTAGACAGACCAAAGCAAAAAGGAGCAAAATACCAGAACTATATACAAAAACTAAAACAACCGAAAAATAACTATACATGAAACTGGAGTGCTTCAGGAGGTAAAAGCTTGGAATTAGCAGCTTCATATTCCATCCATTCTATCCGAGCTCCCCTGACCACTTCAATTTCTGACTTCCAATCTTTATTCAACACCCAAGCATTTCGGGTTTTCCACAACCACCACAGGATGTAAGTGGTTAAGTGGATTCTATCTTCATACACTTCATCAGAAGAGAGTTTACAAATATCCAGCCACCATTCTTGAAAAGAAGAGGGGGGACCTTTGATCCCAAACCACTCAATACCAGCTAATTTCCAGACCAAGCCAGCTCTAGAACATGAAAAGAATAAATGCAACAAGCTTTCTTCCATTTCTCCACACATATGACATATTGGGTCTACCTGGATAGCTTTCTTCAGTAACTGATCTGAGGTGCTGAGATAACCAAACCAACATCTCCAAATGAAATTCTTAATTTTATTTTTAACCTTGAGCCTCCAAGTTCTTTTCCACATTTTTGCAAGCAAACCTGAAGCAGTACTGGACTCAGGGGGAAGGGATTTCAGACACCTTTCAGCTATAATATGCTTATATACAGACCTGACTGAGAAGATTCCGCTTTTATGAAGAGTCTAACACAATTTATCCTTCTGTTGTACACTGTTGAGTGGAATTTTTAGAATAGCTGAAGCTTCCTTGGCTGAAAAGAATTGCTCAATGAGAGACTTGTTCCAACCAGAACCATCAGAAAGAAAAAGATCTCTCTCACCTTGACTAGTTTTCCCTGTCCTTTTGAAAAACACAGATAGGCTTGTGGTTGGGCAGGTCAGGAATCCAAGGGTCATTCCATATTGAGATATTTTTCCCATCTCCAATCTGAAAAAGAGTTCCTTTCTTCACAATATGCCTGATTTTAAGCCATGAACTCCAAAGCCAAGAATCTGAGGATTTATGAGCAACATCCATAATGTCTCCTGTAGGAAAGTACTTCCCTTTTAGCACTTTATAGACCAGCAGATTAGGTTGAGATTTGATCCTCCAAATTTGCTTTGCCAGAAGAGCCTCATTAAAAGACACCAGGCATTTGAAGCCTAATCCTCCTAGTTCTTTGGGTTTAGCAAGTTTGTCCTAGGAGGCCCAATGAATTCTCTTATGCCCAGCTGCATTATCACCCCACCAGAATGTTGCTATTGCCATGTAAATATCTTGACAAATCTTCAAAGGCAGTTTGAAGCATGACATCACAAAAGTTGGTAAGGCCCCCAACACTGTTTTAATCAAAATTTCTTTCCCAGCCTCACTAAGGAATTTATTCTTCCAATTCTCTATTTTGCTTAAAACATTCTTAAAAATATAACTAAAAGTTTCTTTTTTTGTTCTACCTAAACCTAAAGGCAAGCCAAGGTACCTTGTGG